GGATTGGAGAGGAGGATTAACACCTTTTTGCCAGTAACATCAGTGGTCGAGGAGTATAAGGCGACAAAGACACGTCAGGCCATGATGCTGCGAGACAGCAAAGACGAAAGAGTACGCCAAGCAGGTATTGTGGTCAGGACAGGTCGTAAATGGTCAGCCAGCAGAGCATTGACGGAGGCCGAGGATCGACTGCATCATGCTGACATCGTTGGGACAGTAGCTCTGGGCAGGCTTGGACTGGGTTGCTCCACCAGAGTAAGCTGGGAAAAAGCTGACCCAAAAGAACGTCGCGGCATGGTGCAGAGGGAGGTCCGTAAAGCAGAGGAGGAAACCCGGCATGTCAAGGCTGTTGCCATGAAAAAACAGGGCAGCTGGACAAGGTGGGAGGGCGTGCAAGAAAGGGCCCTGACGTGGCAGGAGATCTAGACCATGGAAGGACGTCGGATAAAGTTCTTGATGTGTTCTGTCTATGATGTCCTGCCTACCCCATCAAACCTCCATATTTGGGGGATAGCAGAGAACCCCAGCTGCACGCTGTGTGGAAAGACCGCCAATCTTGAGCACATCCTTTCAGCATGCCGGTCAAGTTTGGCAGACGGGAAATTCCGGTGGCGTCATGATAAGATCCTGTCTCGGTTGGCGGATGGTGTGGAACAGGCAAGGAAGAATCGTAAATCGCTTTCTGATGGGCACCACTTTATCCATTTCGTCAGGACAGGAGAGAGCACTGCAGCGGTACGGAGGAGCAGAGGGGTCCTGGCCTCAGCAAATGACTGGGAGATGCGGGGCAGACCTGAAAAAGCAGCTCAAATTCCCGGAGGAGATAGCACTCACTAGCCTCAGACCAGATATTGTACTCTGGTCTAGAGGTACCAAGCAGGTGGTGCTCATAGAGTTAACTGTACCCTGGGAAGAAAGGATGGAGGAGGCACATGAGCGTAAGCTCAAAAAATATCAAGGCCTTATCCTCGAGAGTCAGCAAAAAGGATGGAAGGCCTGGAATCTACCAGTAGAGGTCGGCTGCAGAGGTTTTGCGGGACAGTCGCTCTGGAGAACACTCGGATTGTTGGGGATTGAAGGGATGGCCAGGAAACGGCTGATAGGCAATGTCACTGAACAGGCGGAAACAGCATCAAATTGGATCTGGATACAGCGGGAGGTGCGGTGGCAGAGCAAACCTGTTGAAGGACCAAAAACGGCATAGAGTTGGGTGGTGGTCAGCAGGGGTAGATCCAGGACGCTGGATCTGCTGTCGAGCCCTCCCGAGGTGTTATGGACTTAAATCAACGAAACACCAAGGAAGGGGGGTGCCCATCTGATGACCGGCTGTAGCCACCTAACTCTTGTAGTGTTGAGAGATGCAACCAAGCCTTGAGCTGGCCCAGGGAGAAGATTGGTGCTTGGAAGGAGGAGAGAAGGAGAGGAGAGAGTGATGCCACTGGCTCACAGATGGGGCAGGGCAGAGTACATGTAAAGGTGGGCCAGTTGCGATGATCACATCGTTTTTGCATATGTGTTGGAAGGTCCAATGACGCCCAAGCTTCAGCTACCTCATAGGTGGCATGAGTTTCCTATTTTAATCAATCCATTTTGCATTCCATGCAGGTTTCCAGAGCCAGAGGATGCAAAGCAGCCCCAGAGCATCACCATGCTTAACTGTAGACAGTGTTCTTTTCAGCATACGCTTCGTTCTTCCTCCTCCAGAGATACCGCTGATCCACAGGGCCGAAAAGTTCCAGTTTTGTTTCATCGCTTCACATAACAGAATCCCAAAACGTCAGTGGCTTATTTATATGATATTGAGCAAATTGGATCAAACTTTTCTTGTGCTTTTGGGTCAGTAAGTGTACATCTTGGAGTTCTGGCATGGAAACCACCTGCGTTTAGCACACACCTGTGCAAGCTGAAACCTCAGTGCCTGTTACCACCAAGTCTTCCTGCAGGTCTTTTACAGTCACTCGAGGGTTTTTCTGAACCTGCCTTCTCAGAAATATGGTTGCAGCCGTTGACAGCTTCCTTTTTCTACCCTGACCAGGTAGTGTAACCACTTGCGAACTATGCTTCCAACGGTGTCTCTAGGAACATTTAGTGCCTTCCCTATCTTTTTGTATCCTGTTCCTTGATTGTGAAGAGCGATGATATCTTCTCTTAACTTTTTTGACCATTCTTTTGCCATATTTCTAATATGCAGTCAAACTGTTATCCAGCTCAAGCACACCTGGTGCAACTAACGAAGCCCTTGATTAGTGGCGTCAGGTGTGCTTGAGACAACACCTGTTTTGCAGATTTGTGCTGTTGTGAGAGATTCTATTCAGGGGGTTGAATAATGTTGAGACTGCAGAAGTCAGTATAAATTGCATTTTTAGTTGAATTTGGGGAAACCACTTGAAACATTTGTTGAGTTTAGCTATTTCAATTACTTTTGTTTGATTTGTTATAAGTCTGTACATTTTGCCAATAAACCTGATTTGCAATGGGGGTTGAACAAATTTGATTATTCATTGATAGAACTGTAATTCTGACTAATCGAATTGATAGGCCTGTCATCACTGGAATAAGTGCTAGTATCTAACCTAATGCTCTAGTATGTTTAATACTATGTTTAATTTATTAGGGGAAAAATGACAAATATGGCCTACTAAATCACTATTGGATATTGGATTACTTACTAGTAATAAAAAGGCTAGGCTACTAACATAAATGTAGGCTACACTAGCTAGTTTCTAATGAATACATATTACAATAGATTTTCATAAAGGCTAATTAATAAAACTACAAAAATTAAAAACAATTAATAAAAGTCTCATTAATAAAAGTATAAAAATACTTAAATACAGGTCCTTCTCAAAAAATTAGCATATTGTGATAAAGTTCATTATTTTCTATAATGTAATGATAAAAATTAAACTTTCATATATTTTAGATTCATTGCACACCAACTGAAATATTTCAGGTCTTTTATTGTTTTAATACTGATGATTTTGGCATACAGCTCATGAAAACCCAAAATTCCTGTCTAAAAAAATTAGCATATTTCATCCGACCCATAAAAGAAGTGTTTTTAATACAAAAAAAAAAAGTCAACCTTCAAATAATTATGTTCAGTTATGCACTCAATAGTCAATACTTGGTCGGGAATCCTTTTGCAGAAATGACTGCTTCAATGCGGCGTGGCATGGAGGCAATCAGCCTGTGGCACTGCTGAGGTGTTATGGAGGCCCAGGGTGCTTCGATATTGGCCTTAAGCTCATCCAGAGTGTTGGGTCTTGCGTCTCTCAACTTTCTCTTCACAATATCCCACAGATTCTCTATGGGGTTCAGGTCAGGAGAGTTTGCAGGCCAATTGAGCACAGTTATACCATGGTCAGTAAACCATTTACCAGTGGTTTTGGCACTGTGAGCAGGTGCCAGGTCGTGCTGAAAAATGAAATCTTCATCTCCATAAAGCTTTTCAGCAGATGGAAGCATGAAGTGCTCCAAAATCTAGCTGCATTGACCCTGCCCTTGATAAAACACAGTGCACCAACACCAGCAGCTGACATGGCACCCCAGACCATCACTGACTGTGGGTACTTGACACTGGACTTCAGGCATTTTGGCATTTCCTTCTTCCCAGTCTTCCTCCAGACTCTGGCACCTTGATTTCCGAATGACATGCAAAACTGAGCAACAGTCCAGTGCTGCTTCTCTGTAGCCCAGGTCAGGCGCTTCTGCCGCTGTTTCTGGTTCAAAAGTGGCTTGACCTGGGGAATGCGGCACCTGTAGCCCATTTCCTGCACACGCCTGTGCACAGTGGCTCTGGATGTTTCTACTCCAGACTCAGTCCACTGCTTCCGCAGGTCCCCCAAGGTCTGGAATCGGTCCTTCTCCACAATCTTCCTCAGGGTCCGGTCACCTCTTCTCGTTGTGCAGCGTTTTTTGCCACACTTTTTCCTTCCCACAGACTTCCCACTGAGGTGCCTTGATACAGCACTCTGGGAACAGCCAATTTGTTCAGAAATTTCTTTCTGTCTTACCCTCTTGCTTGAGGGTGTCAATGATGGCCTTCTGGACAGCAGTCTTACCAATGATTGCAGTTTTGAGTAATGAAACAGGCTGGGAGTTTTTAAAAGCCTCAGGAATCTTTTGCAGGTGTTTAGAGTTAATTACTTGATTCAGATTATTAGGTTAATAGCTTGTTTAGAGACCCTTTTCATGATATGCTAATTTTTTGAGACAGGAATTTTGGGTTTTTATGAGCTGTATGCCAAAATCATCAGTATTAAAACAATAAAAGACCTGAAATATTTCAGTTGGTGTGCAATGAATCTAAAATATATGAAAGTTTAATTTTTATCATTACATTATGGAAAATAATGAACTTTATCACAATATGCTAATTTTTTGAGAAGGACCTGTATTCGTAGATCAAATTGTTGTAAAAGGTAATTTTAAGTTTCATTACAAATTCTTGCTTCTCTTCTGCCCTCTAGTGTATATGAGCAGTAATGCCGCTGTCCATGGTCCTTGTTTGCGTGCTTTCATTCGCTGACAACACGCGATCCTGAGTTTCGTGCAAGAAAACCACATTTCAAACAGCCTACAATTACTCTGGCCAAGCACGAAGGGATAAGCATCTGTGTGTGTTTATTATTAGATAAGATAAACGAAATCCTCCACACACAAAAAAAAAAAAGGAAAAAAAAAGTGTCCTAAAAAAACCTCAATGATGTTAAGGTTGACTTCTATCAAAGATTGTTTACAGTGCATTTCATCAGTGCATACTTTCACATAGAACACCTGGAAGAAGATTGGTGCAATTTATGACAAAAGTCTTGAGACACTTTTCACAAGTATGGATTAGATTAGAAATAGGTAACAATCCACAATGGACTCTCTGTCTGGACATTCTTTAATGTGTAATTATCTGTCTTTGAATGTGAATGTAAATGCAAATGCTATCCTTCAGAGCAACCACTAGACACAGCTTTTATACAGTCAACTTCACACATTTTAAACCTTATATATAAAATCTTTCTAAACATTCTGTTTAAACATATTTAAAAAAATATAATAAAGAACAAAAACAAAAAAAATTCTTCTTTGGTCAATGAAACAAATCTAATTCCACTGGACCAGACAGCTTCTTCCACTTCTATGTTCACTTCAGATAGTCGAGTCACTTTTGCTCCTTGATTTTTGGGTTTGATGTGTTCCTACAGTTCAAAGTCCCCGTGAGTCCTCAAGTTTCTAACGGAGAGCGCAGAGGAATGCAGCCATCCATCTCCAGTGACTCAGGCCAGCCTTCATATTTATTATTGCTTTTACTGTTCTTCATTCGCTGAAAGACAGAGAAAAGGAGGTAAAATCCCTGCTTTAAGAATTCTAAACTGTAATTAACCTTTTCAAAATGGCTCTTAGCTAAACTCTTCCACCCTTTTCTTACTGTTGTTCACTCAGACAAGCTGTCGGAAACATCCACAAACAGCTCAGTTTGCAATAAAATGTTCTCAAAGTTGCACAATTTGGATATTATATTGTACGTGGGCTAGAATAAAATTGCAAGGCGTTTTATCGCTAATTTCTGCTTTAAAGAAACACAGTAATTAAAGTGATTACAACATCAAGCAAGACATTTTAATCCAAAGAGGCTTGCAAATGAGGAATATTAGAAGCAATTTATTATATAAAAGCCAATTTGAAATTTCAGAAAATTAGAGTAAAGAGACAAGAAAAGGTTATTTTATACAATTTATTTCTAGCAAGTGTTTAATTGTGGTTTAGGTGGCAGAAAAAGGAGCATTTGGGTGTTTTTCATGAAGGTCGTAATGGTCCACTGCATGGAGGCTCTGATTTTCCTGATGTTAAAAAGTTCAAACTAGATCTTGGGTGGTCATTTAAATTTGGGTAGTGATCATCAAACACTTCACATTGGTTTCTGTCCTGGTTGTTTTTTGGATAGTTTTAACTATTTTTAAAGGATTTATCCAAACGGACAGGAGAAGCAAAAGCTTTTCTGATACTATGGCAGATATAAACAGTTGCTTAGCAAAGCATAAGCATCAATTACTTGTTAAAGAAAATATTACCTCTATAACCTTTAAATAATACCTTCATATTGTCCATGGCACCATGTTTTTTTATTTTATTATGAAATACATGTTTTTGGATGTATTTGGTTCAAAAGACATTATATGCAGTAGCATTAAACAGGAAATGGTGTTCATGTGTTTACTAAGACTGAGCTATACGGTGATATAACTGGTGTAATATAACACATAAAATAGGGCTGTGTCTCGGCAAGAATCTGGTATACGCATCGCCAGATAAGCATATTGTATACATATGTATATATATATATATATATATATATATATAGAAAATATATAGCTTGTATATATTCTTGGATCCTGCTTTAAAGGGATATTGGATGCCCATTTTCCACAATTTGGTATGATTCTTTAGAGTGTTCATGTAAAGTTTGTAATATACTTTGGTTAAAATCCCTCAAAGGTTGTGTAAAACAACACCCTTTTTACCTCCTCAAAAACAGCTTTGTTCACAGTGATCTGTTTCGATGCATGTCTCTTTAAATGATAATGAGCAACTGCTCACCCCACCCCGCTCTTCCATGAGGAGTGTCGAATGACTGAGGGCAGAAATATGCTAATACGGGACAGTCCGTCAGTGGTCGTGGGCGGAGGATGAGCATTATGACATCATAGTGCTCGCCTGATTATTGAGAGTGTTTAGACTTAGAGGATTAAAAAAAAAGGAGTGAATGGATATTTTTCATTGTATCGTGGTTGTGTCCACACACTGCAAAGACACATTTATATGCAAACACCATATAAAAGTGAATTTTGCATCCGATGACCCCTTTAAAGGTTCACGGTATAGTGTTTTTTTAATTTCTCAAGTATTTCACAACAGAAAGTACATAGTCCACACCATGACTGCATGACACTGTTTTTTATATTGAATACTGTAAAGCTGCTTGCTTTAAAGCATCTACATATATATACCCAGATAGCACAGTTTACGTCTCTAAGATGTCTGCTAAAGATTGCTTAATCTGGAAAATTAGATGTTTGTGTACAAACATCTGATAAACGTTTTAGAAAAAGCAGTTTTACATACATTCTAAATCATAAACATCTTAAAGACATTTTCTAAATGTCTATTTAACATCTGCTCTCAAATTCAGTGTTTCCCGAGTATTAGATTTTAGCCTGGCTTATTTTGCAAACTCTTGTCTCTTGTCGATCTCCTCAGTGGTTTCTTTATAGTGACAATAATGCATATTTCTTTCCATACGAGTCCTACCTGTTCAAATGGACTCTTATTCTCTATTCCTTTGGCTCCAACAAACACCCAGCTGTCCCTGAAGCTCAGTTCCTTTGCTGCCGTGCTCCCCAGCTCCTCGAACAGCCGCCGGGCCTCATCATTTAACCTGTGAATGGGTTAAGCACTCCGATTTAAAATCCAACAAGAAACACTGAAGGAAAAGAACCCTGATATGCTCACGATTTAAGAGAGATTAGGTCACAGAACAACAGTAATCTGGGTTTAAAAGAGGAGTGCACGAATAAATAGACTCTTACTTGGTGGCAGGGTCATCAAAAGAAGCAACAAATACTAGCGTTCCTTCATGGAGAGGCCGAAGAAACTTCAGCAGCTCTGCAACCTCTGTGGCGGAAAGAGAGAAAACACTCATATTAGGAGCTGATGGACCACATCCATGAGAAAACGGCAAACTAACCAAATAATATATCACCCTAAAGGTCAACTTACCTCCTGCCCACATATCAAATGCTCTTATCTCCAAAAGATCTCCACTGACCCCTGAAAATGGAAATATTCCTATTAATTAGTACTTGTTTAAGTGAATATGTAGTACATTCAAGCATATATCAGTATAAAAGAATTTGAGCTATTTACCATTTACTAAAGCAATATTGAGACCTCTGCCCACATTGTTTTTAGCACTGCTGACAAGACTGTAAGATCAAACAAGTAGAAGTCAAACAACATTTGTAAACAGCTATTGTAAATATTATTCTAAATAGACACTTAATTCTATGGTAAAAGTTAAGGGAGGATCAGAAAATGGAATATGAATATGAGCAAAACACAGGCACGGAAAGAGAAACCAATGCCTACTTGCATCACGTTCCCCAATAAGATTATGAGTCTGGTAGTGATGGTCATGAGAAAAACAAAGACGATATAATGAATACCAGTGGAGACAGAACAAGAAAAAGGGAGAGAGGTTGCATGCGGAGCTTAGTGTGCAGCGGTGCCCATGCAAGCTCATTAGAGACCGACAGTGATGCCGCATCATTTCAAAATGTCAGTCAACTTGCATTTTATCCTCCAGACACATTTTGGGGCCGATGACATTGGCAGCGCCAGAAGTCAGCCGGAATGCGAGATGTTTGGGGGGGCACGGTGCTGACAGGCCACATTTGTACTTGCGTGGTCGTGGTTCTGCAGGAGAGAAGGTTATTGCATTGAATGATCAGATTGCTTAAATGTTTCTTCTGAAAATGTCAAAGTAGATGTACTTAGTCATTTTACCTGGAGTGGCTTCTTCTTGTCCACCTACGAATGATATATATATATATATAATCAAAGTTAGCCTTACAAGTCATATAAGATAAAACAAATGCTACATAATACATGCATATATCACATTTACACATGCATATATCACATTTACACACACACATAAAAAAAAACGTTTACTGGGTGGGACGGGACAACCAGTAACTCGAGATAACAGCAATAGCAAACCACAACGATCAATGATCCAATTTTTTCCTGAGGGACAAAATCAACATTTTCTCTTGTTTGAAAAGCTGTTTTACTAAGGTATACATCACAATAGGGAAGAAAAGACCATCACAACTTCTGTTTCATGCCGACTTTAAAGAAAAGTGGCATGATCAAGTGGCGGAAATAACTGATGATTTTGCACAGCACCGTAACAAAACTCTGACACATTTTCAATAACACCCTAATCACAGGTGTAGCGTGCAAACTCAAAATACCTCAGTTAGATCAAGTTCAAGTTTTTTTATAAAGCACATTTAAAAACAACAATGGTTGAACCAAAGTGCTGTACAATTAGGTAAATACAGTAAGAGAAACAGGAAAGAAAACTAAATTAGATTACAGAGTAAGTTACAAGAGAAAAACTTAAAATAAACAAGTCATACAAATACAAATGAAACTCATTCTGCTAAAACCCCTGTGCATCTTAAGCAACACCATAGGCTAAGGAGAAAAGATGTGTCTTCAACCTAGATTTGAATGTGGACAATGTGGTAGAGGACCTTACAGAGAATGGAAATGCATTTCTCAACTTGGGGGCCAAGTTACAAACGTGGCAAAGAGGAAATACCTTAGTTAAAATAAGTTGTGTGTTTGGGTTTTTAGATAACTAGAAAACATTTCCTGAAATTATTTATTAGATCTAATTTTTAAATGATTCAAGTTGCTTTCATATTATTATAAGGGTTTATTATATCATAAAGAATTGAACTGTTCTGCATGCAAATAAAATAAGAAATACTGAATGACGCAAGCTCTTTTTTTGATGCTGTACAGATCTAGTAAGGGAAGTTTTTGCTCATGTGCCTGAAATGTCCATCCAATAGAGGGAGGCTTTGCTCAGCATGAAAAAATAATAGAGGGAAGGAACATTGCATAACAGTTGAGTAGCTTGTAGCAGATTTGTCAGTTTACTTTGAAAGCTACTAATAGAACTACATGTTATATGCTCTCCAAGATAACAGCATTGGCCGTGGAAAAACCTATATCATATAAAATAGCCTTACCACTAAAGAGCGTCCTTATCAAGGAGTTCCCATCCCCTCCTAGCATTGAATTTGCTAGAAGCCAGGTGAAGCCCAAAAGAAGTATCAAGGCAACAGCACGCATGGCCACTGGGGAATACAAAGGAAGGAAATAGTACTTTAATGTCATTGTGAGTAGGAACTTATCTAGCCCATGATAAGTGAGGAAATGCACAGACCTGCAAACCTCATGGTGGACAGATGTCAAAATCTTGTCAGCAAATGGTCACTTTTAATATTCTGTTTGGAGCAAGAAAGACAGCATTTAGGACAAAGATACGCATCATGTACGTTTTCAGATTAAACCCTTGAAAGGAGTAAATTTCGAAGAACAGGATTCAGTAACCTGTCATTCAGGACATTTAGCTGTTAACGCTTAATCTATATGTTAAACATACTTGTAAGGAAGTTTGACTCCTATGTCTGCTTCCTATTTTGATTTCAATGGCTGGATATTTAATGGCTAACATATGTTTTAATTACAGTTTTAGCCCACGTCTATGACATTAGAGCTGATAGTCTTTTGGGAAGCAAACCTCCCTGGAATTGAAACCTAGGCACCAGCTTCATACGCAAATCTGTTCATGTAAATAAGCAAACTCACTTTTAAACCGGAGCACAATAATTGAATCAAAACACACAAATAATAATAAAAATACCTTTCAAAACGTGGAGTGACCCTGTAACGTTACAGGTTTGCAAAACACTTTCTCTCTTGGGTTGTGAAACTGTCACGACTAATTTACTCGCGTCCGAAACACGTTCATCTTAAAACCAGTGACGACTGGATTAGTCGGCAACAAATACACGAACACACAATTACGTAGTAACAAAATATCCTTGTTCGTCGACCTCTATAAGCGTACATTTGTTGCCAAAACACCAATCCCGATTACAGTCTTCCGGTTCGAGTCCAAAATGATGAGCACGTGGTTCTTTTGCCAACCCAGTATGCAAATATAATCTATGCTCCACTTCCTAGTGTTTATTTACATTTGACCCATGCAAAATGGTGTCATTTATATAGATAGAGAGTAATCATTCATTAATAATGTAGGTTTGTGATATTACAGCAGAACGACATATTTAAATGTACAATAACAAATCTGTATGAGTGTAAATTTGTCAGTGGCAAAGTAACTAATATCCTTTTAAAGATGTATTTTTCCAAAACGCAGCCCGGAACTATTCTCCACAGGTCGGTGTTTAATCCGGAAAGTAACACACACACACACACACACACGCATACTACTGTCATGATCATGGCCACTCTTACCAAAGCTTTAAAACCAATCTTGGGAAGGCAATTGGGAAATGCAACAAAGGCAAGGCATTTTATTTACACATTATGACCAGAGAAACCGTATAAATACTAGTAATAATAAGAAATTATGTCTCAACCCGTCCTATTAGCGTGACATTTTATTAAGACAAGGTCAGAGTTAGCTTGCTAAATGTCAATTTATGTATTAGTCCGCATTATACATGTATTTTAGCTCAGTCAGTTAACATATTTGTTCATGTATACGTTTAATCAGTGCGATTGACGGCATGATTTCAGTGATTTGGCAGTGTCTTAAAACGTAGTGAGCTGCTAAAGTACATAGCATTTTTTTTTTGCATTGTGGTCACTAGATGTTGCTGTATATGTCTGCAGCTTACACGGCTTTGAAACACTAGCATGATTTGAGGGGTGCTGTATCATATTGTAATGCTTAATCGGTTTGTTTTTGTAGGTCTTTGGCGCAGCAGTCAGCAATCAAAGAGGAAAACCTACTTACACAGTGGGTTGTTGTCTTTACATGGCAGGCAGCTAATAATGCCTGTCTACATACATGGCAGCTAATAATGCCTGTCTACGTTGGTTTAGACCTGTATTGGTTATGTGCTAGTTTCTTTAGTACAACCCAGTAATCTAGGGCTAATAATGTTTCCTGTTAACAAATGTTATTTTTAGTTTTTTGAAACTGAGCAACACTTGTTTCAATATACACTACCGTTCAAAAGTTTGGGGTCAGTGAGAATTTTATTTTTATTATTTGGAGGAAAGAAAACAATACTTTTATTTATCAAGGGCAGTAAAGACATTTATAATGTTACAAAAGATTCTATTTCAAACAAATGCTGTTCTTTTGAACTTCCTATTCATCAAAGAATCCTAAAAAAAAAAAAAAAAAAAAAAAACTGTACAACTGACAGACCAACAACTGTTTCAACATTGATAATAATAATAAATGTTTCTTGAGCATCAAATCCTCATATTATACTGATTTGTGAAGGATCATTTGACACTGAAGACACTGACACTGGTGATGCTGAAAATTCAGCTTTGATCACAGGAATAAATTACACTTTACTATATATTCACACAGAAAACAGCTGATTTACACTGGAATAATATTTAATACTATAACTGATTTTTGTTGTATTTTTAATCAAATAAGCGCAGCCATGGTTAGCAGAAGAGAATTCTTTTAAAAGTATTTAAAATCGTACCGACCCCAAACTTTTGAACGGTAGTGTAAGTTGAAATCTATCTATCTGATATGATTGGTTATTCATTGTTTGACAGAAAAGTATACTTTATGGTACTATTGAGTGGAACAAAAACATGTCTTCAACATAAGTTATAAGATAATGAATGGTGGTTCCTATTTCTCTCACTAACTGTGGATTTTTTGTTTATTATTCTTAATCACCTTTGGTCCTCCTCTGTCTTGAAGGGACAAATCATAGTAAGTATGGATTGACATAAGTAAACATAGAAAGAATGATGCCAAATACCCAAGTTATTTCCATGATTAACATGCACATGTAATATAGCCACTGAATGTTAATTCATTATGTTTGTTTGCAGCCTCCTCCTGCCAAGTATGGAGGCCGGCATACTGTAGCATTGATTCCTGGAGATGGAATAGGACCTGAGCTGCTCAGCCATGTGCGGGAACTCTTCAGGTTTGTCAAATCAATACTTTCAACAAATATAATTAGTGTCTGGTAATAATGTGCTGCCACACTAAGATTTTCATATTGAATCACAGATTCAGCTGTGTTCCTGTGGACTTTGAGGTGGTGAATGTAAATTCTTCATTAACCAGTGAGGACGACATCAAAAATGCCATTATGGCCATTCGCCGCAATGGAGTTGCTCTTAAGGGTCTGTACAATCAGCTACTTATTGACAATGTTACAGTTGTTCCTCTGTTATTAGTGAGATTTTAGATAAACTGTTTATATTTAATCATTTATCTTTTTTTCTCAGGTAACATTGAGACCAACCACATAATGCCCCCTAACCACAAGTCAAGGAACAATCTTCTACGGTAAGGCTGAAAGACTAATAATTACACAAATAATCTATTTATACCAGCTCCATCAGATGTTTATGATGCTGTACAAAAAGTTGTTGGGCCCCTCAGTTTGAGTGCGAGTGCCTCAGATTTGGCCTCCAGTCCATTACTGTGTGTCTAGACTGGTTCACCTCCAACCACAGCTGTCTCTCTCTGTCAGCACGAGTCTAGATCTGTATGCCAATGTGATGCACTGCCAGTCACTTCCTGGAGTCCAGACGCGCCACAAAAACATCGACATCATCATCATTAGAGAGAACACAGAGGGCGAGTACAGCAGTCTGGAGCATGAGGTCAGGAGTTTACTTCACCCACTCAATAGACTTTCACACAGCTCCACTTGTTTCTAGCACATCTTTCCTCACATACAAGAATTGATCATTAAAGAGAATAAAGACATTAAAATGTGTTATTCTATTGCACATGTAGAAAATACACTATTGTTAAAAATTTGGGGGTTGGTAAGATTTTTTAAGTTCTTGAGCGAAGTCTCTTTTTTTATTAGAAATACAGGAAAAATGGTAATATGGTAAATAATAATAAAAACATTACTTTATACTGTCACTTTTGATCAATATAATGCTTCCTTGCTGAATAAAAGTATTCATTTATTTCAAAGGAAAAAAAACATACTGACCCCAAACTTTTAAATGGTATTGTACATAGTAAGCATTCATAATTTTGAATATTTGTTTATCATGGAATAATAGTACAATATAAAAAATAATTGCCAAAATTAATGTAATAACTTAATGTGAAAGTATGAGTATGTAACTTATGAAATATGTCATTTTAGAACAATCAATATACTATAGAATAAGTATATATGTATATGTCTGCAATGCGCATATATATATATATATATATTAGTGCTGGGCAAGTTAACGCGTTATTATCGCGTTAACGCATTTATTAATTAATGCCGACAATTTTTTTATCGCGCGTTAACGCAGTTTTTTTTTATTATTATTTTGAAAGTCCGTTGCTCACTGGCTCTGAATACACATAGGCCTACAGTCAAACCATGATCACAGGAGGGGTGGGATGTTGGTCAGCCAGCAAATAACCCACACAAACAAGCAGTGGAGAGGCTTTGGCAGGTTCTCTCAGGTGAACAGAAAGGGAGACAGCGCTCCGCGAGTGAATGACAGGCGCTCTATAGATAGTAACCATGGCACCGGCTTCTGTGCGCTACGCAGCTGTAGCCTTCTTAACTTAAATTAAAATTATACATAACTTTACCTGATAGGCCTGCGTTTAGTTTAGCGGGGATGCTCTGCCATGTGAATTCCCTCCTGTTGATGTCCTGATAACTATTTAGATTCTGGAAACTCACAAACAGCGAGCCGAGGATCACTCTCTCTTCCAAGGATTTGTGCTGCGCGTCGTGTACAAAAAGTTAGACAATTCCACTTCGGCAACGCGCGGGCGCGAGCGTGAGGCGGGCATGACCGCAACAGTTTCACAGGAACGCACCCGCTTGTCGCTGCACCTGTGCTCGACCACTTCACCTCACTCTAGGCTGATTTATACTTCTGCGTCGGACCTACGCCGGAGCCTCTACGCTATAGACTACGCGTTGGTTTTCATTTATATATCTGCGTCGTTGTCCGCGTTGACGCGCAATTACACATGCAGAGGGAGAGTGAAACCCGGGGAGCGGTTCTAGCAATCACAGCGCTTGCGGTACGCGTAGAATTGACGTTACATTTTTGGAGAGATGCACGTCAGGGTACGCGCGCTACACAGCTACGGCGTGAGTTCGACGCAGAAGTATAAATTGGCTTTACCTCTGTTTAATGTAATCTTACGTGGGAAACCATGGCATGCCATGACCAAACCTAAGCTGCTATCAGAGAAGTAACGTTGGTCGACTTATTTCTGTAGTGATCATGACCCTTTGACTACATAGACTGTTTCTGCTGCTCCCTGATACAAGATACCTGTTCAGAAAAAACAACAACAAGAAAACTGGACTCTTTTAACAAGCTAGATAAAAGGTAATGCCCTGGCAGTGGCAAATAGCTTTGTTTAAATATTTGATTTGATTACATTAATGTTTAAGTTGAGATTTACATGAAATATTTTATTGATACTGTGTAAAGGGAATACTGCTGGTATAAAAGCACCTTATTTGTTTAAAGTTTTTGCAAACCACATGTTATTGCACTTTTGTAGCAGTACATTTAAATCAAAAGTGCGCAATACACTACTTTAGAATTCATTATTCAATTTTGCGCGTAACAATGCGATTAATCGCGATTAATCGCAAGAAAATCATGCGATTAATCGCGATTAAATTTTTTAATCGTTGCCCAGCACTAATATATATATATGTGCATGATGCCATATATATATATGAGGCATGATGCCTTGAACACATAAAACAAACTTGCTATGTCCCCCACTTATATGCAAAATATTCTTTTTTCCTACCCATTTTATGTTCTCTTTTATTTTATTGGTCAGTACCCTAGAATAAATAATTTTCTTTGTGTTTCAGAGTGTATCAGGAGTTGTAGAGTGTCTGAAAATCATCACGAGGACCAACTCCCTCCGCATCGCTGACTATGCCTTCAAACTAGCCCGAGAGAAAGGTCGCCGCAGGGTCACGGCTGTCCACAAGGCTAACATCATGTTAGTTAGTCTACTACTTGTCTGTACAATTAATTCACTGTTTGTGTCACAAAAAAGAATGTGTTAATAATGTGTTCTCACGCTTTTCTCTTAACAGGAAACTGGGGGATGGGCTGTTCTTGCAGTGCTGTAAGGAGGTGGCCTCTGGTTACCCAGACATTGAGTTTGATAGCATGATTGTAGACAACACCACCATGCAGGTGAACAAATAATCAAACAAATCATGCTGACAATTTTGATGTGTTATGAGAAAGAAAAATAAGCCCGTTACTATATTTACTGTGGTTTCTTTCAGCTTGTTTCTAAGCCCCAACAGTTTGATGTCATGGTGATGCCTAATCTCTATGGCAATGTAGTCAGCAATGTGTGTGCGGGGCTGGTGGGTGGACCCGGTCTGGTGCCTGGTGCCAACTACGGACGAGACTATGCTGTGTTTGAAACGGTTGGTTTGATGGAAAAAACTGAGCAATTAGCACAATCCTAACTTGCAGGAATTTTGAAGGTCACCCCTTAACAATAATCCTTGTATTTTTAGAGTTTTATTTGCTTTAACCTCAGTGTGAATAATAATTGTAGTCAGCTATGTAAACGGCTTTAAGACCAAACAGAACCCTCTGCCCGCATAATACGGCTAGCAAAACACTGCCACAAAAATTCCATTTTTATAAAAATGTATTTTATTCCACAAAAATAATAAATAACACTGTTTTTACTATTGATAATAAAAAGAAATGTTTCTTGAGCACCAAATCGGCATGTTAGAATGATATCTGAAGAATCTTGTGACACTTAAAACTGGAAAATTCCGCTTTTCCATTATAGGAATAAATTACATTTTAAATATATTAACATAGAAAACAGTTATTTTAAATTTGTAATAATATTTTCACAATATTTCAGTTTTTAATGTATTTACTATCAAATAAATGACACTTTGGTGAGCATGAGAGACTTCTTTCAAAAACATTAAAAAATTCTAAAAGTAGCAGCAAATCAGTCGCAACTGCTGGGTGAATGTTATTTCACCTAGGGTGATTAATATTCATAAGCCAGTTTATTACATGCTTATGTTAACTTAAGTGTATTTAAAGCTGCAGTCTGCAGTTTTTCCTCTATCGCCATCTCTGTTCGAAATATGCAATTGCAGTTATTCGCGGAATTATCAACTTTACGTGAGTTGTACTTCAAAACCCTCGACACGGCACAGCGCGGATGAACACAATGTTTGAGGAGAGTGTGCGGCTGTCACTCACCGCGCCGGTGTGGATAATGGGATTCAGAATCACAGATTATTCTTTTTGGAAGTATGACCAACATAAGTATTTTCACCGGAAAATGTCATCTGAACAAGTAAGAAACATCCACTTTTGTTCTGGTTCTGACATTGCAGTAAATCGCGCTGAATCGCTTATATCACGCAAAACCGTGCAAATTATAACCAAAGGAGGGAGAGCATTATTATCTCCACCAAAGGAGGGAGAGCATTTTCACATTTAGCTCCGAAGCTCTGGAATAGCCTTCCTGATATTGTTCGTTGCTCAGACTCGTTCTCCCAGTTTAAAACTAGACTAAAGACGCATCTATTTAGCCAGGCATTCATGTACATTTTTTCATCTTACAGTTACTGTAAATTCGGCCTCTACTTCATAGTTGATCCGTCACTTGATGGAGTTTTTCGGTTCCTTGCCACTGTTGCCTTTGGCTTGCTCAGTTGGGGATATTCAAATTAAATGACCCATCATACCACTGATCAGCTCTACCAAACTTGGATGTCTTTTCCAGTAATAAACAAACACTGTTAAGTTGTTTTGATTGATACTGTGAAGCAGCTTTGATACAATCTGTATTGTGAAAAGTGCTATATAAATATATTTGACTTGACTTGACTTATACTTTGTTCTCAAATTGTTAATGTTAACAATGTCAGTATTGCGTGACTACATGTAATGTCCTTCTGATATGTATCCTTATTTTCGCATGGGTCCGGTTGCAGTCTCTTTTTTTCTGTAGCCGCTCTGAAGTCCGAACGAAGTCTTTTGTATTTTACAACGGGTGAGTCTCCTGTTGTCACTGGTGATCGTCGTTTGAACCTTTCTGGATCCGCCATCAAATTGATAAGTTTAATTATATCAAGTGCTGTGAGAAAAGGCTATAAATCTCCACCTGCAGCATCCTCACACTCATAGCCTCCTAGCCGAGACTCCTTCTTTATGTGTACAGATGGGACGTAATGACGCAAAGACATGCTCGAATCTCCCGCGGAAAGCCACCAGTACCACTGGAGTTAAAAACATTATTACAAGCTTACCGCTTTGAATCGAGCTAAGGCAAGCAGAGAGTTTTGAACACTAGCTGGTTATATTTTTTCTCAAATATGTATTTTGGATAATTTTTAACCCAAAAAAAGCTACGGACTGCAGCTTTAAATAGAAAGATACTACGTTTGCATGTTCTCCATGCAATATGCTGCATCAGCATTATTCATAGACCTATTTTAAAAGAATGATGCTTATATATTATTTCTCTATTGAAATTGAGCTGTGCCACTGAAATTAAAATGCAAATATCGAGTGATGTTTAAATGGCTGGGTTTAAATATGTTATAACAGGCCACCAGGAATACAGGAAAGAGCATTGCCAACAGGAACATCGCCAACCCCACTGCCATGCTGCTTGCCAGCTGCCTCATGTTAGATCATCTCAAGTAAGTTATGAGCTCATGTGTTATTTTATAAGTGTCCGCTCTTATGATGGTAATTTTGCTGATTTTTGCCTTTCTGGTTCTTTGTTAGTTCTTGTATCTTTAACTTGATGAACAGTCAGAATTTCCCTGTTGTATAAAATCTATGTTTACGATATGACTCTTCTTTTTCAGGCTTTATGACTATGCCACCATGATCCGAAGTGCAATTCTCACCACTATGAACAAGACCAGGGTCAGTCATATAGATTCTTTCTAAAGTATTAACTCAACCTCTATACATTTTACAGTTGGTCTAGCACATCGTGTATGGCAGGTTCTAGCTCACAACTTGGATACTGTCAGGTGTGAAAATCTGCTCATGAAGTTACCATTTAGACCAAGGCATTCTACTATTCTTTGGATTTGTGCATGAAAGATCTCTTTGTAGTAATATTATTTGACTGTATAGATATTGATATAGTTACACTACCGTTAAAAATATTGGGGTCAGTAAGATTTGTTTTGTTTTTGAAGTCTCATACTCACCAAGGCAGCATTTAGTTGATAGAAAAAAATACAATTAAAACAGTAATATTGTTTAAATATATTTAAAAATGTCATTTATTTCTGTAATGGCAAGGCTGAGATTTTAGCATCATTACTCTTCAGTGTCACATGATTCTTCAGAAATCATTCTAATATGCAGATTTGCTGCTTTGTGGAAACCATGATACATTTTTATTTATTTTTTAGGATTTTTTGATTAATAGAAAGGTCAAAAGAACAGCATTTATTTAAGATTGAAATGTTTTGTTACATTAAAATGTATTTAAAATCAGTTTTGATCAATTTAACGCATCCTTGCCAAATAAAAGTTTTGGTTTTTTCAGTCTTACCAAACTTTTGAACGGTAGAGTATATGTGCTTGAAATTGAACTCCAAAAATACTAATGGCATTGCAGTATCTTATAGTAATGTCTATTTGGGTAAAAAAAAACAACAAAAAAAACTTGTCTTCCTTTTTTTTTTTTACAATTTGTAGAATTTTTCAAAGGGGTGAGGTCACATGCTTGTTGCACAATTGATGTTCAGCCATATGTCTAAGCATGTTGTAATGCTGTGGTTCTCAAACCTGTCCTGGAGTACCACCAGCCCTGCATATTTTGTGTCTCCCTGTCTCTGACACACCTATTTCAGGTCTTGTAGACTCTACTAATGAGCTCATGAGTTGAATCAGGTGTGATGGATGGAGACATACAAAATGTGCAGGGCTGGTGGCACTCCAGGACATGTTTGTGATCCACTGTTGTAATCATAGACTGTAAAAAATGGTTGTAATGTGTTCTGTGATGTTTCCTGTTGCAGTTGCACACAGTTGACATTGGGGGGCAGGGCACTACTTCAGAAGTGGTTCAGTCTATCATGAGGAACATCGAGAGTGGCGGTCCCCTCACCACTGATATCTAAGCTCAGTCAGCATCACTCCACATCTGTTTGGTACAGAGCAGTTCTTGTACATTCTATTTTTTTGTCAATCAGTTTATAATCCATGGCCAGGAGTAACAAGCCTAATTTCCCTTCCAATTCCTATTTGGTAGATCTGTTTATATTTCATCTCAACTTTTACCTTTCCAATTTACTTTCAGATGCATCAGTTTCGTAAGGACATCTGTCACATGAACTTCAGTCCCAAGATTCATTTGAAATGCAGCATACTTCAGCATTGAGCTTGTGGTGTTTCTTGGGCATAGTGGTCTTTCCTTGGGAACTGCAGAGCTTTTAGATGTATCATATTGTATCTAAACGGTTATATTGTTTAAATGCTATGCTAATGCAGTATTTATGAGGTTCTTGCATTGGGTTTCTGTTTCTGCTGCTCAATTGCATTCCAAATTTGATCCGTTCTTAACACGTTATTCTAAAACACAATGTATTCATTTGGGGTTCATAACTTTTGTGTTTACTTTAATGAACCTGAATAATATGAACAAACCTCCAACTGTCCATTTACAAAATTATACTTGTATAAACTAGTGCATTTTACTTTTCTAACAGCCTTACAGTGTTGGGTGTTTAAATGGACTTCGTGTTCTGGATGTCCATCAGATGATATTTTTTCATTAGACTTTATAATAGTATTATTTAAGCTTAATACTTAATGTTGGTCTACTGTTGCATCATTTAGTTTAGACCTTTATGTTAATTTAATTTCTTGATATGCAGTGCTTATTTGTATTATTGATCTGTCATACTGTCATCTTTTGAGTTAAACATGCACATTTTACATCAAACATGCAAATTCTACCTGATAAAATATATCAGAGCTTGACATTACTATGTACTGTTAATTATTTTAAATTTTAATTGAAATAATTTTAAGTCATCTGAGTCACCTAGTGGGTCCCAGTCCCCCTGGGTGAGAAACACTGCTGTAAGGGTTAAAAAACTGTACTGTCTCACAAATCATTAATGGCTCAAAGGTAATCCAATGATACAATAAATAAAATGGTTGTCCTCTTTAAAATGTCTTGTTTATTGTAGATCACTGACAACTTAAAATAGAACATAAACTGAGAAATATACATTTGCACATTTTAGTTTCTCACATCTGATATGACAAACAAGGTGTGTTAGCTATGTATTCAAGATGTGTTTTGTTGGGTCTTTCGGGAGCCGGAGAGTTTGGCAGTACACTTGCAGTCCCATTAAAGCAAACACTGTCCAAGTGAACAATAGTGACAAGAAAACATCAACTCTCCAGTTGAGGGATTATACCTTTTTGGGTCTATTGCCGAATGTTCTATATTTTGAACCAAGAAAAAAAAAAAAATGTTTTCCTGCAGACATCGTTATTTACAGGCCAACATACTGACTAAAGGATTGATGTATCAAGTGTGAGTCTGGGCACTAGAGGGCAACAAATCATAGATAAATGTATCTTTTTGGAAACAGCTTTGTGCATAACCAATAAAGTCAGTTCAAATTGATTCTTAGCCACAAAACCGAATGTGTTCTTTTCCAAATAATCCGACAAGATGACATGAAAATCTTTTGATTGTTTACAGCTGGACCTTTCTGTGTGGAAAAAATAGCACGATGTTCTGAGCGGGAAACCCAAGGGGAATCTTATAAAAAAATATATTATGAATCTTAAATAGAAATATAATTTCCAGTGACATGCGTCAGGAAAAAAAACAGCCATTTCCCACTGCCGTTCAACAGCGTTTGCAATCGCTAAAAAAATACAGCAGCTGGGGAAAATATGTGGAATGTTATTTGTAGTACATTATACAAGTCTATGAACAAATAGACAGACATGTCAAGGACTGTGGTTAAATATCATGTAGCCCTGTACATCAAGTGTATTCAATGAGAGCCAAAAGGAGTGAGATGGCTTGTAAAAAACTGTGAATATTAGAACATGCAGATTGATAAAGGTGATGCCTTGGAGAAAGTCTTAAGAATTAACCATTGCTGTACTGCAATGCATGCTCTGAACTCAATCAGTCGATGCTGAATATTTCATGTTAACATATTTATTTGTTGAATAGTAGTGTAATAAGCAGGATGATGGACAATAGCCAGTCAATATAGCAAAATAAACTTGGTTTGACCCACTCCCAGTCCCAACCTAATTTCACATAGATTTTTGCGTTGTCTGAAAGGTGTGTTTGAATTCATGTCACATTATTTCTTATATTACGAGTCTGATGTCGATACTCTGTATTTCCATTCTATTATGTGGACGTTTTTTTGTTTGTTTTTTTAATCTTGGTCAGGTTGCATGACATCACTACTTGGGAATTTTGGATCACACACATTTGTCCAAATATTTTGCTTTAGAATGTTCTGATACAGCTTGGAATTCATTGATCCCTTTACAATTGTAAGCTGTCCAGGTCTTGAGGCAGTAAAGCATATTGGATATTGCTGTGTACTTGTTTATCTGTGCAGATTCACAAATACACTGCAGATCTATGGAGATCAATGAACAAATGTTACAAGAAAGAAATGTATGCTGATCTATATCTGCCCCTCTGGGGTTCTGGTTCATGGATTCTTTGTCTTGCTCTTGCACAGATAATTGCAGGATGCCATCTGAACCTGAAGAGTAGAAGTTTCAGCGAATCTTCTGTGATCCTTTAGAATTATGATATGAGGAACAGAAATTATAAACGACAGGACTGATTAATCTCATCAAACGACAGGACTGATCAATATTCTGTGACTGCTTAACTTAATGTATGCATATTTTTTTTGTTAAAATAAGAGAATGTTTTATTTATTATTATAATGCAGATGAAAACGCACATCATATATCAGTTGATATCCAGATAGTTTCAGAGGGTTCAAGAACTTTTCACTTATGTTTTTTACTCAAAGGTTATATTCGGGTCAAGCTAGTGACTCATAATATTGGCAGGCAGTGAATGTCAAGGGGGCTGCATGGAAATATGTTCTAGGTCTGAGTTTCAGTACTTTTAAACAACTCCTGTTCAGGGCACCTCTAGTTTCCAAAATGTAGCTCCAGTGTAATTAGGAAACAGGAGTTACTTATAAGACACTTACTCTATTATGTCCTGCTGATTTACAATGCTTTTTACTTTCTCTGTGTCCTTTGAGCATTCTCTCAACTCTATCAATTCTCCACGCTTTTCCATTTGGTATAACAGCACATGAAAACGATCACTTATTTATACGGCACCATCACTCTACATTCTTGGTTTCGAACTCATTTCCAGCAGCTTTTCTTCAGTCATTTCCTCAATGGATTTCAGGCCCATGATTTCAGGAGTGTTTTTCATTGCCCTCATTTGAGCTTCTCACACATTATCATGATTGATGGATGATATATTTATGCTGCCTTTTTTGGGGGGTATTTAGCCAGTTTAAACTAAGCCAATAAGTAGTGAGTCAATCCAACCTCAATAACGGGTGTAAAAAATACCAAGAAATTACACTTAAGTTAAAGTACAATGTTAAACTGCTTGTGAAACGGACAATGGTTTTCTCATAAACTTTGATGGAAAGTGACGTGTCAGTGAGCGAAAAGTTCATTATAATGTCCACGTACCGAATACAATTTTAAGTACATTTTAAGTCAGTGAGGATAGGAGCAGGCTTCACTCAATGTATATACTGATGAATTTTAAGAGTGCTGGCCTAAAAGATAACATATAAAATGGAAAAGAAGCCGCACACTGAAGAAGGCACACGCCGAAACGCGTCTGTGCAAAAATAAACAATATATGCATAGTGCTTTTCCATTTTATAAGTACATTTTAAGTACAATTAAAAAAATTAAAAAATTAAATAAAATGAACTTTCCCATTTGCTTCAATTATGAAAAAGAGGTTGGTAATAGAAATAGTGAATAGAGAGAAATAGTGGCTAATTTTAGTGGCTCACTGGCTAAATAGACTCTCTATAGTCTGTCATTATCATTTGTCAAGATCATAAGTGTTAAAATGTTTTCAAATATGTTTAAAAAAATAAAAAAACGTATTTTAGGGAAAAATGGGAGACACTTTTGCAGCAGAAGCTTCTGCTCTTGGAACGTATAGTCTCAGAATGGCTTATTCTCCTTTCCCTCTTTGAGGGGTATTTGTAATTCTCATTAGTTTAACATCAGCCTCAGCTCTTGTCACATTATTCAGTTTACTTTTACTGTCCCATTACAACTCTCCCAATTTCCTCTGAGCGCTGGAATCATACTATCAATTATGTGAATGTGTAACCTCCCTTACTCCCTTAAGTACAGCAGGTTTTTAGGGTGCACAACATGTTTAAAAGGAGAATCCATCAAAGAGCAGCTTAATTCTCTGTTGCAGCCTCCCCTAGTCATGACCGCCAAAGACTTGTCTAGACTGTGACTAAGGACATTTTAGAGAAATTTCTAATAACAGGGGACAAGTCCATGTAGACAACGAGAATGAGAGAGATGCACCAAACTCCTCTCTCCGTCTCTCTGTTGTTAGTATTCCCCCTCCCCATATTGGAGAACCGTTACTAAAGAGCTTTTGATGAAACAGATTTTTCTGAAAATCCACCAGAAAACACAAGTCTGATTACTTTCGCTTTCATTCTTCCTATCAAAAGTACTTCGGATAAGCATGGCTGTGACGGTTTTATTTGGGGTTTGAAGTTATCTAAACAACAATCAGTCAGAAATTTCTGGGGGCTTCCAACTGATATGCAGCAGAGGTAATGTAATTATTAAAACGTAGCAGTGAGCTCCTCTCTACTATGTGAAAATATGGTACAGTTCATGACAATACACTTCTATAGAAAATTAAAGCTTCTGGCAGGCATTTCACATAAAGAACATTTTAGGGATTCCCAAACGATACTTTTTTCGATACCAATTTTATGAAAATAAAATAATAAAATCTGTTTTAACAACATTATATTACCTCAAACAAACTTTGGTTTTATTTTTTCAGTTTGTTGACTTTTTTACACTCATATTTTGAGTCTGTAAAAAAGCACAAATGCTAAAGTTTTCTATGTATCCTAATCATTTAACAACTTTACTTCAATGAGCTCGTTTGTTTCTGCCTTAACTTAATGCATTGTTTAACAATGAAACTGAATGAAAATTTAATTGAAATGGATTACTTACACACAGTCACTCTGATAACAGATCACTCTAAATTGTAATTTAGACATGCATTTTCTGTAAAGCTGCTTTGAAACGATATGTTTTGTGAAAAATGCTAGCTACAAATATGTGATTTGTTCCTCCTTGTTGTTCGTTCATCATCTTCGCTTTATTTTTCGCTAGCATTATTTTGTTTCGCTTCGGCTATGATAAAGAAACAAAGTGTTAGTTTGGGTTGATTTCAAATATTAACAGTTTCTCAAATCGCTTACTGCACCTTTTAACATGAAAGTATTATGAAATACAATTCTATATATAATTTCCCATATCGTATACTGATGTAATGAGTTTCAGAGTACATACTACACAACCACAAAGATTTCAGAAGACCTGTTTCTGCTGTTTAGTTAAATGGTTGGACTGGGGAAGGAGTTTTGAATTCTGAAAGTTAGAGTAACACAGTAGCCTTCATCATACATCATCAAAAGAACACGGAAAATCCAGTTTTCCATGATATGCTTAAAAGCTTAAAAGCAATGCATTCTGCTAGTCTGCGTGTATATGCTTTCAGGATAAAAGGCAATTGTTCCCAGCTCCAAATGAATATGGGCCTTATTTAACATTCCTCAAAATCAGTAGAGAAGTGCTCCGGACAACACGCAATGGATTCCCACTGGGAAATCTAAACAG